GTGCGTGTGTGCCCAGGATCCCAAGAGGAGAATGGAGGAGAAGGGATTGCGGCATGACCATCCCCCCGGGGGGTGATTTCTCGCTTTCTATCTCTCTGTCTCTCTCTTTCTTTCTGGTGAGTGCACGCGCCCTATAGCGAAAACCGCTTCAAGACCAAGCAGGCCGAGAACCTGCGGTCGGTGAGGCTCGGGCTGCCACAGGGGAGCTCTCGGGCACCAGCTGTGTGTGCGGAGAGCGGGCTGGGACCAACTTTCCGCTACACTCGAGAAAGTGTCACGGAGGCCCCAGGGCGGGGCTAGGTCCCGAGAGCGCCGTGGGGCATGAACGCGTAAGGAGACCCGGTGTTCCCTAGACGCGGCAGATGCAGCACGTAGAAACTGGCTGGCAGTGCAGTACACTGTGGAGTGTCGCTGTGTGACGCACTGTCACTGCCCAGCACCGGGGCAGTGTCTGCCACGTATCACAGTCCGAGCACAGGTCAAAATTCAGAGTACAGTTTCCACTGAAGGGGTAGGTTTCACAGCACCGTGAAGTTAAAACACAGGTGGGGCCTTAAGTCACGGAGCACGTGTATAGGGTGAAAGCCGAGGCCTTGAATTCCAAGTGTCCACAACTTAGATCCTCTGACAAGAGTGCCCAAACTGCAGCCTCCAGGGGACAGAGCCATGCCATCTGCCCACGGGGCCGCCTGCTCCCAGCAGGGCGCCTGGGAGGCAGGAAATGCTCTTAGATACACAGCGACAATGAGGGTGACAGAGAAGCCCACCAAGGAAAGGACCCAGACACCTCTGCTGGCTCCGGAGCATGCTCGTGTCTGACCAGACCACTTCAGCACATGGTCTGTTCACACTGCTGTGGGGACTCAGAATGCAGCTGCTTTGTTTCAGTGCCAAAGACTGAAAACTCGGTGTCACTTTCCTCTAATGTCACACCAATTTTTTTTTTTTAAGAGAGATTTTTGCTATAGTGCACATGCACTCACCAGAAAGACAGAGAGAGACTGAGAGACAGAAAGCGAGAAATCATCCCCAGGGGGAATGACCACACCAAGATCCCTTCTCCTCCAATCTCTTGTCGGGATCTTGGGCACACATGCACACGCGCCTGGCATGAGTTTAAGCCACCAGGTCCAGGACTCGAACCATGGCCGACTACATGGGAATCCAGCGACGTAGCCATTACACTAACTGCTGGTCCTGAATTACACCAATTTTAAGTCTTACTATAAACCTATGATAAAAAAAGGCAACGTGGGTGCCAGCAGCTGGTCTAGTGGTAAGGCACTGGATTCCACATGGCTGACTCCACAATCCAAGTTTCAGACCCAGCAGCCTGAAAAACACGCTAGAAGCATGTGCGTGCGTGTGCCCAAAATCCCAAGAGAACAATGGAGAAGGGAGTGCACCGTGGTCACCCTTCCTGGGGTGATTTCTCACTTTCCCTTTCTCTCGGTCTCTCTGCAAGAAGCGCACATGCCCTGTGGCAAAAAGAGAGAGAGAGAGAGAGAGAAAAGAAACACAATAGGGTATTATTGGTGGAAGTTTAGACAAATGGATTAATAGAATATAACACAGAACCCAGACATGTAATGAGCTGCTTTTGGCAAAGGTGCAAAGGAAAGTCTGCGCTGGCAGACTGCCCCACAGAGGAGTGGCTAACATAAGACACTGACGACACGAAGTGCCGGTGGGGATCGGGAGCAACCGGAACGCTCATGTGTGTGGTGGAAATGCAAAATTTCACAGCCACTTTGGAAAGGCAGTTAGTGATTTCTTCCTGGTTAAACATACACTTGCTCCCCAGAATCCCACTCCAAAGTGTTTACACAAGAGAAACGAAGTTAAGTTCACACAGAAACTGTATGTCAAGGTTTGTGATGTCGGCTCGTATACTTTGAACGTCTGCAGCAGGTACACAGATTTAGAACTGCAGTTCAGCGGATGAAATACCCCTCAGCAGTGCAAAGGGACTGTGCACACAGACCCCGGGTGGCCCTCACGTGCAGGCCACTAGTGAAAGAGGCTGGGCTCTATGGTCTGCGTGTCACCAGATGGCATCCTGGGAAGGGCGGAACCAAAGGAAGAGCTCGGAGGTCACTCTGGTGTGTTTGGGAGCGAGGGGCCGACCACAAGGGGCAAGGCTGGACCTTGCAAGGTGAGGGCTGTTCCAAATCATGACTGGGGCGGGCACCTGACAGTTTGGCTGAACCGGCGTGGCACACCAGCAGGAGTGAGCTGTAGTGAGAACTGAAAACGTCACTTAATATATCTTAAAAAAAATAAACAAATAAAGGATAAAGCACAGTGAGGGCACATGCAGACTTTGGGCCAGCCCCGCTGGGACTGCTAGCCCCGTTTCCTCATCTGGAAATGGAGAGGGGAGCACTTAGCGCAGCACCTGAGCACCGAGCAAGGGCTCAGTGGGTCTCATCTGCTGCAGCAGCAGGACTGACCCGTGGCGGTCTCACAGATCGAAGGCCTCTGCCACCTCCCGGTAAGCTGGCTGCTCGCTGTCTCTCTAGAGGTGAATGAAAGCAGTCGATTTGTCCTCATAGACAGACTCTTCCCCAGGGGCAGGGCTAAACCCACTAATGTCTGTAGTAAAGGCAACTGGAAATGGTTTATGTTTCCATTTAATTTTTTTCCAAGATTTTTGCTATAGGGCATGTGCGCTCACTAGAGAGAAAGAGACAGAAAGTGAGAAATTACTCCTCGGGGGGATGACCATACCTCAACCCCTTCCCCCCCCATTCTCCTCTTGGGATCTTGGGCATGAGCACACACGCGCCTGGTATGAGTTCAAGCCACCGGTCCGAGACTCTGACCACGGCCAACTATGTGGGAGTGCAGTGTACCGTTATGCCACCTGCTGGCCCTGAAATGTTCTAGAAAGCTGCCACATCCCAGAGGGCCGCCTTCCTTTGTCTGCTCCAGCAAAGCTACGCAATCCCCATTTTTTCGGTATTTGTCTTTGGAAATACACGTTTGCAATTTCGCTTAACTTTAGGGCATGCTGATGTGCTAAACCACTAAGGCGGGCCCTGAAGCCGCTGAAGCCCCCCTGCAGCAAGGTGTGGATGGCTAGGATGGCTGCAGCGCTGAGCTGTCTTCCCAGGCTGGGGAGAAGGAGAAGCTGACCTCCAGAGGGCTCCCGGAGGTGTGCCCTGTACCCCGGTGGCATGACCGAGCAGAACACATGACAGCTCTGGCCCTCAGACACAGCGAAGGCCTGGATGTACACATCACCCGTGCTGGGGGGACAGCACCGGGAAGACACAGAAGCAGGGTGGAGGCCCAGCGCCGTGAGCAGTGCTGCTGCACTGCTGACGAGGAGCCACTCACATGGCGACTGCCGGCCTGAAACACTCCAGGCACCGGAGTGAGGGGTGAGAGGACAGGAGGAAGGGGGTCACAGCAGGCCAGACCCGGGGTGCTCGTCTCTTTGCTCTGCCTCCTACTCCCCCTCTCTCCCTTGCATCTGAGTAAAGGAAACGTGAGATGCGGTTAAAGAGCAGGGTCGAAGCGGAGAGTTCAGGACTGGGCTTGCCGAAGCGCAAGACCGGGGACCTGGGACTGAGCCTCTCAGTTACTGACCCCACAACATATCGTCCCTGCCACGGGGCTGTCCCCAAGGGTGTCATCTGCCCGATGACTACAGTCAGCCTAGAATACGGGGCAGGAAGACACTGGATTCCCATTTCTGGAATAACTCTTCCGCTCTGGCCTGCTGGTCACACTTATAGCCACGCCTGGGTCACGGACCCCACCGGCTCCCACCCAGAAGCCAGCATCCCACCTGCCGGACGCTGGCTGGTGCTCCCAGCCCCCGGCCCCCGGCCCCGTGGCTCCCACCCCTCGGACTGAAGCCTCCCCGGGAGCCAGGCACACTCGCTCCCAAAGCTGTCTACGCCAATGGCACGGACTGTCAGAACCAGAACCACAGTCCAGTGGGCCCACACATCAGAGACACAGGGAGCAGAGAAGGCTGTCACTTCGGCAGACGCCAAATTCTAATGTTCCAAAGACTCGACGGAGAAAGGGCTAAGAAGAAAAGCAGAAGCAAAGCAGTGTGGCCAGACCTGGGGCGAGTCGGCCGCAGAGCGCAGCCACAGTGAGGCCCGGAAGGCTGGCGAGTTCCAGCTGACCCAGGTGCCTCCCGCTCCTGCCCGCTAGGACCCCGCCCCATCCCTGAGCAGAGAAGAGGCTCTGCCCGCGTCTCTGCAGGACGCAGAACAGACCCTCTCTGTGGCGCAGGCTGGCCCACGCTGTGCCCGGCTCTCCTGGGACAGCAGAGCACACACACACCGGGCCCTGACGGCTTCCGGCCCGGGAAGGGGACTCAACGTGTGGCCAGACCCTGTGGAGGGTGCCCCCTCACATGTGCTATACTGTGAAATTTTTTAAAGCTATTTTGGGGGTCAACAGTGGCTTGATGGTTAAGGGTTCTGGTCTCTCACATGGCTGACCATGGTTTGAATCCCGGACCTGGTGGCTTGCTTTCTCACTTTCCCTCTCTCTTTCTGTCCCTCTGTTCTAATTTTAAAATAAATAAATAAAGTTAAATAAATCATTCGGTTTTTTTAAGGTATTTTCTACTCATTTTGTTTGTTTTTGTCATAGGACACATGCACTCACCAGAGAGAGACAGAGACAGAGGAAGTGAGAAATCAACCCCCAGTGGAGATGGCACACAGGGACCCCTCCACTCTCCTCTCAAGACTCTGGGCACGCACTCTCACCAGTGTGGTTTGGAAGCCACACACCTGGCCATGTGGGATCCGGTCACCCTAGCCAGCGTGCACTGCTGCCCCCAACATGAATGTTTGGAAAAGCCGACTTCGAGGCCTCTCCAAGTCCTGGCTGGCTAAGCCTGGCCTGTCGCCATCTGTCCCAACAGCCTTTGGGGGAGGGCTCTGTGAAGAGGGCAGGCCCCAGGCAGGCCCAGCTGGGTGGTGGAGCCTCCCTGCACTAATCCCTGAACCCTGAACCCCCACCTCCCCTCCACCCTCCACCTGTTCCTGAGCTCTGACTGCTCCCCCTCCCACTAACCCCTCCCTGCTCACCTGTGGCTAAAGTGGCTGGTCTGGGCTGGCCACTCAGCACACCTGGGTCACAGGCCTCACTAACTCCCCTAGGGAGTCGGCCCTGTTCCGGGGCAGTACAGGGGGCAGTGGAGGGGGGTGTTCCTGGGTCCCCTTAAATCCGTCAATAGCACCTGCTGGACAGTGAGGAGAGGACAGGCAGGTAGGTATGCGCAGGGCTCCACCAGGGACAGCCTCGTGGGGAGCCAGGGCACGGGCGTCAGTCCTGCCCCCAGTCCTGAGGGGGGGCGGGTTGCAGGCCGGGTGGGAACCCGGAAGCCGAGAGCCGGGCTTCGACCAGGTGGGGTCCTGGCTGCCTACCCTGTGCCAGCGGGGGCGGCCAAGTGCGCAGTCAGAGCCCTGCCCAGGACCGCCGCCCCGCCAGCTCACCGGTCGGGCTCCTCCGCACGCCCCCGCGCGCCTTCAGGAGCCGCGACCACTTGGCCGCTCTCCTGGCCAGGACCGCCGGGTAGGCGGAGAGGAACGCCTCGTCCGCGGAGTCCAGGTTCTCCGGTTGCTCAAACCCGTAGGGGTCGACCCTGCAACACAGACACGCCCAGGTCCCAGCGGGAGGTTGCGCGCCTCCGGGCCAGGACCGCCGGCCGCCGCACCAGGCACCCACC